GGCCTCGGCCGGCAACGCCTTCGGGGACTCGCGGGCCACCGGGGGCCAGGTCGTGCGGGCCTCGCCGGAGGGCAAGCGGAAGGCGGCCAGCTGAGCCCGGCCCGCGCCACCGTCCAGGTCCACACCCGCGTCCCGGCCGGAGGCCTTCCGCACCGCCACCGTCGGGCAGCCCTGCACACCGGCCAGCGCCGCACTTTAAATACAGACTTACACCTTTTATAGAACCGAGCGTGCTCTTTACTGTGCGAGGCCGGCTGGTTCCCCGGCCAGGCGGGGCCTGGGCTCCACCGTGGGAACCCAAGAGGGGGGCGGTAATCGTCATCATCATCGTCGTTGGGGTTCGATGGGGAAGCCTTGGCTCTTTTTGTACACACTGATCTCTCTTAATCTTGTTCCTTAAAAACTGCAGCTCAGCGGAGTGTGGCCACGCGTTTAATCCCAGCACTCGTGAGGCAGAGGCAGGTGATCTCTGTGAGTTCAAGGCCAGCCTGGTCTATGTAATGAATTCCAGGACAGCTGGGGCTACAGGGAGACTGTGTTTCAGAAAGGCAAAGAAAAAAAAAAAAAAATCATATGGTAGCCGGGTGTGGGACTGTAAAAGGTTCAATTCCCAGTGGGGGGGGGGTGATAAGTAAAAGGTTCAATCCCCAGTCCTGGGGGGGGTGATATGTAAATGATATGTGATAGATAAAAAAGTAGCCCTATGACGAATAGGGTTGATCAGGAGGAAGCACCAGGACATAGATAAAACTCCATCAAAATAGGGTATATTAGCAAAGGAACACATGGGACAGATTCCCTTCCAGGCAGGGAAAATGTCTGCCCTGGTCATGAGCTGGGACCTTTTAAAAAGGGAGGCTTCTGCTTCCTGCAGAAGGTGGGAAGATTTTTTTTTTTTTAAAGTTGGGGGTTGGGGAGTGGGAGAGCAGGACTGTTAAAACCTGTCCTCTTTAGAGATCAAAGGGGAAGCCTGCTGTGTTGGCCAAACAGTGGAGAAAAGTCTGCTTCTCTTGACTTCAAAGACCAGGGTGCTCATCAGCTAGGTTCCCTTTTCTCAGGAGCATGAGAAGTCCTCGGGATCCTGTTGGTGAGGGGGCGGGGCTATCTGAACCTTAATATGTAAGCTGGGTGTGGCAAGGTTGCAGAATCTGAGCTGAGGCAGCAGACTGCTGACTGGAGGCCCGTGTGCGCTTCGGGGGTAAGATGCCCTCTAGAAAAGAGGGAATGCGAAATAGAAAAGTAGGGGCTGGAGAGTTGGCTCAGCGCTTGCGAGCACTGACTGCTCGTGTAGAGGACCCAGGTTTGATTCCCAGCACCCACATGGCTTTAACTCCATCTTTAACTCCAGCTCCAGGGGATCCGACACCCTCTTCTGACCTCCTTGAGCATTGCACGACACAGGTATACTTACATACATGTAAACAATACACACAAAAATTAAATGATGTTGTTAAATAACATCATCGTGAGTTGGGTGTGGTGGCAAATCCCAACGCTTGGGAGGCAGAGGCAGGCGGATCTCTGTGAGATGGGGGCCAGCCTACTCTACACAGTGAGTTCTAAGCCAGTTAGGGCTACAGGGAGACCCTGTCTCAAAAATTTAAAAAAAACCATTCTGAATAGGGCCAGCCAGATGGCTCAGCAGGTAAAGACACATGCAACTGAATTTGAGAACATGAGTTCAAGCCCCAGAACCCACATTGTGGAAGTTATGGAAATGGAAAGCTCTTGTCCCCAGTGAGAGATCAAGTAGCCGTACCCCCTTTGGTAATAGAGGCTGCCACTCCTGGACCCTGCAGCCCCCATCAGCCCCTGGAACAGAGAAGTGTGCACCCCTGAACAATCTCCTGTGGGGGTCTCTTTCCAAGAGGCAAGAGAGAGCTGCATAGCCCAGGACCGGAGACTTTCAGCACGTGAAGCAAGACGGAGACCCAGAATGGACGTCCAGACCAGGTAAGGGGCCCCAGGTTAGACAGGTGGAAGCCAGTCCAGGCTGATCGCCCACAGGAGGCTGCACACAAAGTCTTGATGTGAGTCCAGGGTGGCACTGGCCTCCAGTCAGGAAGAAATGGAGACCACAACTAAACTGCAACATGATTCTGAGGTGTTGGTCCCATTTAAGGTAAAACAGGGAATCGGGCAGCAAATTGAGCCACAACTAAACCTCTGCGTGATTCCGAGGTGCTGGCCCTGTTTGAGGTAGAACAGGAATTTAGGGGGACTAACTAGGAACAACTATGTTAAACTGAATGCTTGTGTGTGAATGTAATCGTTCCCCGGCTCTGCGAGGCCATGGGATCTGACTGGGACTCACCCTGCCATTCTGCTGAGATTCTTTTTTTTTTTATGTATATGCATGTATTGCCTGCATGTAGGTAAGTGTACCCTTGTCATACAATGCCATCAGAGGACAGAAGAGGCTGTCAGATCTCCTGGAACTAGAGTTATGGACAGTTGTGGGTGCTGGGATTCGAACCTAGGTCTTCTGCAAGAACAATCAGTGTTCTTAACCGCTGAGCCATCTCTCCAGCCCCCCACTGGGATCTCTTAACCTAAATGGGCAATCACTACAGGGGTTATAGATGTGGCCCTAAGGTAAGACCTCTTAAGTCACTGAGAGGCAGCCAGCCAGGAAGGCATCTGAATGAGGGACTAGCACTCTCTACCCCCTCCTATGTACACATTACATACATCCCAGGCACATATAAAATTTCAGATGGGTTCCTCCCAGTCCAAATGTCAGACCCAGACTGTCCTCCAGGTGATGCTGGACAACTTTAAACTAGGCCACGGAGGAAATTGTGGCATTAAGATGAAACCCTCCAAATTAAAACTTTCTGTGAAGTCCAGTGACTTGAAATCAGGCCATGCTGAGTAAGAATCCCTGAGCCCGGATGGAGGCTACCTGAACCCTAAAACCCAGGCTCATACTCACCAGAAGAGGAGGGAGAACTGCCCCATAGCTATGAGGAGATTATGGAGGAAATGTTCTCCTCTGATCCACATTTAAAGGATGAATGCCTACACGCAAAGGACCATCCTAATCAAACTCCTTGATTTTTGTGTTTTGGGTGCACCTAGTGTTCGTGGAATTATGTCATGTGTCTAGGATAATCATTTCCCACGTGTTTGGGATTTCACGAAATTATGTCATGTATATCTGTAAGTTTTCTCAAGTGTTGAGATCTCACGTAATTCTGTCATTTGTGTCTGTGATCAATGTCTTCATACGTTGTTTCTATCAAAACAAACTGGCCACTTTATTCTTTTCATTCGTTTATTGTGCATAAAATTATTGGTTTTATTTTTGCTTTATTTTGGCATGCCTAATTAAAATACACGTGCAGACTTATATTTTGATAGTACAAAGTCCTTATAAACTTGGGTTCCCTAAACATCTTTAAATTTATTGGACAATGTCTCTAACTCTATTGTTTCACTTTTACATGCTACTTGTTTATACAAAACAGTATCTGAAGCCAGGTATAGTGACGCACACCTCTAATCCCAGCACTCGGGAGGCAGAGGCGGGCAGATCTCTGTGAGTTCAAGGTCTACATAGTGAGTTCCAGGCCAGCTGGAGCTACAGGGAGACCCTGTCTCAAAAAGATTAAAAAACAACCAGTATCTGAGCTGGTTGTTTAAGGACCTTATTTGTTACATACCTTTTGGGTTGGGTTTGCTTTCATACTGTTTGTTTTAAAGTATGTCTTTGGTTTACTCGCTTTGGAAGTATTTTGGTTTTGACATTCAGTCTGGTTTGTTGTTGCTTTCAGACCTGTAAAGGCCTGAAAATGGTCTGAGAAAATTGAACTCCAGTTGGTTATAGGTTTAATACGTTAACTCATCCTCAGAGCTGGAGATGAATTCTGGGCCTGGTCTTCCTGCTGGTCCTTTGGTCTTGTCCTTTGTCTGGTTCCTGCAGCGCAGCTCTGTATGCAGGCAGATGTGGCCTGTTTGGGGAGGGGCGCTTTTCGTTCCTAGAAACTCTGCTGGCTTAGATGTGGCTCTGAACTTTTCTCCCTTGGAGCAACTCTTGCCTTTAGCTCTCATGTCTAAGTCTGCATTGACCTGCCTTTATACTAGCTACTGATAAAACTCCTATCAGTAACTGAAACCAGGAATCTTAGTTTGGCTTGAATGGAGGTCTCTGGTACCTGGAAGAGCTCCCCCAGGCTCCTGGAGAGGGCCACATGGCAACGGTGCTTTTGTTTCTCTGGCTAGAGGACACCTAAGTTAGACACAGTAGCACATGGTTTCTTCTGGGGTACCTTGTAAGAACTGATCCCCAAGATGGCCTGAGCCAGTCTCTTGCCTCCAGAACAGCCTAAGACAAAATGTGACAACTACAATGTATTCAGAATAACTACTTATAGACAAACTACCATGTGTTCAGAATAACTACTATAGACATTATGTTTACCTTGTAAAAATTACCATGTACTTTTACACATATACTGAACCACCTCTAGACATCTGAGAATTAACTCACAACTGTTCCCTACAGTGTGTCTTTACTGGACAGCGATGATTTTGTGTTTATTTCCTTAACACTGTTCCCCTCAATACACACACCTTTTCCTCATAGGACCACCCACCCTGAGCCTGAGCTGTTGCTGTCACAGACTGCCAGCCCTGCTGAATGCGTATGTGTATGTGAAGTACTGTTGGTTTTTAAGTTTCCTTTATATACATACACATGTACTATGTAGACCATAAAAGATTTTAAATGTTATTAGTTTAAATGTTTTAAATTTTAGAGTTATATTTTATTCTGATCAGAATTTCCTCAAGGTAATTGATTTTGAAACTGGTTTGTCATGACATTGCATCTAACCACAGTATTTATCGTATGAGACCCTTGCAAATGTGTAGACTTATGTTTAATGCTAAGGGAACCATTATTAAATAATTTACTAGATATCAAATTGATTTGTAAGTTCTCATGCAAGCTGAAATTGTAAAATTACAACATGGTTCCTATTAAAAATATAAATTAATTTTTTAAAGTGATTACTTCTGGGCTGGAGAGATGGCTCAGCGGTTAAGAACACTGACTGCTCTTGCAGAGGACCAGGGTTCGATTCCCAGCACCCACATGGCGGCTATGAGCCGTCCTTAACTCCAGTTCCAGGGGAATCCGAAGCCCTCTTCTGACCTCTGCAGACTTGTACGACACAGGTGCACTCACATACATGCAGGCGATACACTCATACACATAAAATGAAAATAATAAAAAAATAAGAATGATTACTTCTGCTCCAGGGTGCAATTTATCTCTGTGTTTAGATATGTTTTTTTATAAAACTTTTTTAATTTTCATTTTATGTGTATGCATGTATTGCCTGCATGTAGGTAAGCGCACCTGTGTCGTGCAATGCCCTCGGAGGTCAGAAGAGGCTGTTGGATCCCCAGGGCCTGGAGTTACTGACAGTTTTTAGCTGCCGTGTGGGTGCTGGGATTCAAACTCGGGTCTTCTGCAAGAATAACCAGTGTTCTTAACCACTGAGCCATCTTTCCAGCCCCTAGATATGTTTTATAGAGAATAAACATTTTCTAAGTCTATGTAAAACCTCTCTAAACCTTTAAAGAAGACTTGCTTCATGGCTTTCAAGGACAACTCAAAGTTTATACAGTGTAATAATATATTTAAGATAATTGTTCATCTCTATTTATATATGAGGTAAAATATTGCTTTGTAAATTTATTTATAAATGTTATTAAAGGCTTTCTTAAAGTCTGAGCAGGGTTACAGCGCAGTTCTCCTTAAGTGATTGTGCTGGAGGTTGTGTACCAGCTGCTTCTCTCTACCTGGTGTTTATACGCCTTCTTTTGTACCCTCTCTGAACTACACAAAGTAAAAAGATTTTAATGGTTTGTGCTTCATTTAATTTTATCTTTATGTGTATGAGTGTATTGCCTGCATACATGTAAATGTGCCACGTGTGCATTGCCTGCAGAGGTAAGAAGAGGGCATCAGATTCCTTTGGAACTTCTGGATGGTTGTTAGCCACCATGTGGGTGCTAAGAATTGAACCCTGGTCCTCTTCAAAAGCAGCCAGTGCTCTTAACCTGTGAGCCATCTCTCCAGCCCTGGTTTCGTGTTTTCTATAAGGTCTACCTGGGAATTAAAGCACAGTGTGTACACAGGTGTTATTAACTCATTATATTAATGTATGTAATTTGGATTCCGTGTTTTTAATAAGGTGATGCTGCACAGCACCCTTCCAAGAACGCTGTCTTCATGACTTCAGCTGGGCCTGCTTACAAAAGGTCATCACAGTTGGACTTGTTGACAGCTGTGTTCCTTCACTAAAGAGGGGGTAAGGAGGGTCATTGGACCCTCACCCGAGTATCCAGCCATTCTTCCCAGCCAGCTGTATGTAATTCTGCCCTCGTTGCAAATGGTCTCTTGAATTTGAAAAGGACTATGGTAGTAAAAGATTTATATATAAAAATTAAAATGACAGGGTATTTCCAGAATAGAAGATAATAAAATTCACTTTAAGCAAACTTAATAAAGGTTGAATAGCTTTATCAAGACACAGAGTTGTTAATTTTCAGTCCACTCCTGGCTTGTACTGCACACTGGGTTACAGATTTGGATTCAATAGATGCAGACAAGTATTGGGTTTCCCTATGGATACTGAAAGATGGCTTCCCCCCCACCTCCCCCGGTCTTACTGAGACAGGGTCTCCCTGTAGCCCCAGCTGTCCTGGAGCTCACTATGTAGACCAGGCTGGCCTTGAACTCACAGAGATCTGCCTGCCTCTGCCTCCCAAGTGCTGGGATTAAAGGCATGCACCAAAGATGTCGTTTATGTTTCTCTGTATTATGCAAATGTTACGTTTGGCACTTTCTTTTGCCATTTAGAATAATTTGGCTCAAGAAAAACTAGGCTTTACCTCCTTGAACCAGATGTATACAAGCTAGAAGAAAACAGTTTCTGTGAAGCTTGGTCTGAATTCTGATCAGTTTATTTCCTGTCCATAGGTATGTGATATGATGCCTCCCTTCCTTCTGAAAACTGTAAATCAGGATATAGAAAACTAAAATGAGGCTGCTTCTGTTTGTACTAGAACAGCCTTCATTAAAATAGACTTAAATTCTTGTTTAAGGTCCCTTTCCTGGGCTGTGCCTAGTTAACCTGTGATGGTAAATCTTTTCCAGTCAATGTTTGAGAACGTTTGGGTTTTGTTCAAGCTTTATCTATTACACAATAATTAAAGGTACCAGGCTGGTACAACTGACCTTCGTGGATGGTTAATAACCATACTTAAAAGCCCATACTAATCTGTTCAAAGGAGCTTAACAGTTTTGTTTCTTGCCCTGGAAGGTCCACAATGTCCCAGGAGACTATGGGAATCTCTTGATATGTCCTTAAACTGTGATGAATCACCTGTCCTCTTGTTCAGGGAGGTCATGGAGACCCCATTAGAGGAACTCAAACTACTGTCCAGTCTGCAAAGAGTGTCAACACAGAGGAAATGTTTCTTCCATGCTTCCAAGCAAGGCCCAGGTCAAGCAGACCTCTTGGCTTTCTTCACATAGATGTAACTGGGGAGGGGGGGGTCCTAAGGAGGCAGGAGCGCCTCCCAAGCCCATGTGACCCCCGAGGACCAGATCCTTAACTGACCTTAAAATAAATTAATTTTGGGCCAACTGTATGGTCTTAAACACCCAAAAGGAAAGTATAGCCACAGGTTAATCAGTGTATTTCTTTTAAAGCCTGAGAAAGTATGCTTCCCAGACATTAGGACTTAAAAATTCATATAGACTAATTCTTACTAGGATTTTGTGCCACCCGCAGCCAAAAGGGCCAAATTCACTATTGTTCTTATCAAAATTAAATGATGGCCGGGCGTGGTGGCGCACGACTTTAATCCTAGCACTTGGGAGGCAGGTGGATCTCTGTTGAGTTCAAGGCCAGCCTGGTCTACATAGTGACTCCAGGACAGCTGGGCGGGGGGGGGGGGGGGCTACAGGGGGCCCCCGCTTCAAAAAGACAAAAAAAAAAAAAATTAAATGATAGTTAAATTTCTTCTCCCCTGTCTAGAAGACGTGTAAGAGAAAATTCACAGTGTGACTCTAGCCACTCCAACAGCTAGCTATCATAATGCCTGATAAGCAGATCCCGAGTCCAGCTGTCATGGCCAAATGAAAAATAAGGAAAACCCAATAAATGGATGCTTTTGGAAGCCCTCATCAAAAAATTCTAATGGACTTTAGACATTTAAAATTTACCCTGTTCTGACTTCTGGTTCCCTGCCTGTAATTTATGCCTAACTACTCTGCCTTTACTTCTCCTTCACAGGCACCAGTCAAGGTCATTCTTTTCTCTCTATAGCAATACTTTTGGGTCTTTCAGGTAGACCCACTGAAGGGCTACTCCATTTGCCACACCACACCCTAAGACCTTGTTCACCATGGAAGAAACCAGATTGGTCTGTGTCCTGATTCCCAATGGCAAATTGGATTAACCCTTCAGGAAAAAAAAATAATAAAAAGTAAAAATTAAAGACCCCAAAAGAAAAATGACCAGTTTCTCAACTGAAAGCTGGAAAATTCCTTGGGTCTGCCAGTTAGCTTATCTCTAAGACTAAAGATGCCAGGAGATATTCATACTGTTTCTATGTAAATCAAACCAGCAGAGCTAGAAAAAATGCAAGACAACTACTAGAGAGATTAAATCCTGGGGCTGGAGAGATGGCTCAGCAGTTAAGAGCACTGACTGCTCTTGCAGAGGACCCAGCACCCACATGGCGGCTATGAACTGTCCTTAACTCCAGTTCCAGGGGAATCCGAGGCCCTCTTCCAAACTCCGTGGCATTGCACAACATGGGTGCACGACATGGGTGCACTCACATATATGCAGACAATACACTCATACACATAAAAAAATTTTTGTTTTAATTTAAAAAAAATAAAGAGAATAAAGTCTTTAAAAAAGGAAAAATGAGTCTTTCTGAAATACCTGGGAAACTTTAGTCCCTGACCAGCCTCACAACAGAGCCAGTCATCATAGTTCTATTAGTTTGCTGTTAAAATCTTGGATACTGGCCGGGCGTGGTGGCGCACACCTTTAATCCCAGCACTTGGAGGCAGAGGCAGGTGGATCTCTGTGAGTTCAAGGCCAGCCTAGGGCAGCCTTAGCTTTATGTGACAAGTTGGAGGCCAGCCTGGGCTACATGAGACAAAAAAAAAAAAAAAAAAAAAAAAAAAAATCTTTGATACTAAACTTACTAAATTTTTCAAAAAACAAATAAAGGCCATCAAATTCTAGGTAATAGTAAAAAATATCTTAAAATTCCTCTTAAATAACATAAAGGATTTATGTCCATGAAGAGGAGGGGATATTATGGAAATGGAAAGCTTTTGCAATGTGATGGTAGTTAAGAACTTTGCAGCAGGGAAACTCTGAGACAAGAGACAGGTGTGGGAAGGTGAGCAGGTGTCCCCCCCACCCCCCCCACCCCTGGCCCAGAATGAAAGTCTTTGTTTTCCAAAGTTTTACACAGGAGTATAAAAAACCCCTCCAAAATCTGGACAAGGGGTCTGACTCCTTTTATTCATTGGGTCACTCCTGCTAGCATAAAATCATTAAACTTCTTGTCCTCGCCTGACTTCAGCTGTCAGTCTCTGATTTTTCTGTCACAGGAGAGAAGCCACCCCCGAAGCTGCCCTCTGCACTGAGCATGCAGGCACATGTACACACAGTAAAACATAAAAAACAGAGTAAAAGAAAATTCAATCTTTAGGAGAATGAATGACTAATTTTTTAGATTTTACTTTTGTAATTTTTTTAAAAAGGCTTTAAAAGTACATACACCCAAACATGGACCATCATGGTGAGTCCTAAGAAACTGTCAGAAGTGGGAACCGGGAGACCGACAAGACAGGACAGTCAGAAGCACTTTCCACTGAACCCCCTTCCTTCATTTATTATCCATTTTTAAACAAATACAATTTCGGGAAGAAAAGCACCCACCTTGATGTGAAACCCACAGCTCTGGTGTCATGGACATGAATGCACCAGGGGAGAGCTGATAGCTGGGAACCAAAACAAACCACCTTTCTGCAGCCTCCTGGGATCTGTCATTCCCCAAACTCCACAGGGTCACCTGAGATCATGTCTTTGAGAGGGGTCCGGCCTGGATCCTCTATTCTGATTAGTGTTCCAAGTGGCTCCTGGGATGCCAACACAGCCCATCGCTCCAGCCTGCACCCCACTACAAAAGGCAGTGAGGCGCATGCCCTCGGAGCAGGATCCATGGAGGCACCTGAGCTCCACCGTGCTGCTGTTTTCTTCTCAGGTCAACTTCTCATCCGTGTGGGTGTGTCTTGTGCATGGCGAGGATGCCGGGAACTAGCGTCCAAGTCCTGATGCAGCTGGCTATGCGTGCTGCTGTGCTCCCTGATCCACATTATAAACACGGGCACACAATCTTGGGTAAGCCCGTGGTGAGTTTAAGTAACCGGAACCACAAACCTGCCCTGGGGGTCTTCAGTTTGACAGCAAACCCAAGGGCCACAGCACTGGCCTTTCCACAGCACAACCAGTCAAAGTAACAATGAGCTCCTTACGAGGTCGTTAAAAACACAACAATATAAGTATGATCCCTCTGGTGCTAGGAGGCAGCTTTTCTGCCCAGTTCCCCACAGTCAAGGACCCGGGCCCCCAGCTACCTGTCAGTAACAGACCGCTCACAGCAAATGAGGCTGCAAGGGAGAAATTCCTGCTAGCACTTACGAGCATCATCAGAAAAAGTGCTTCAAAAATAGTCAGCAGCTGGGTGTGGTGCCACGCCTGTACTCCCAGCACTTGGGAGGTCAAGCCAGGTGGATCTCAGTGAGCTCAAGACCAGCCTGGTCTACATGGGGAGTTCCAGGCCAGTAAGGGCTACATAGTGAGATCCTGTCTCAAACAAACAAACAAAAAAACAAACTGTCAGTGGGACTATACTTTATAGGACAAACAAATTATCAGTTCAGGTTAATTTAATCAGACGCCTACCTTGTTTTTTACCGTGTCCCATTCTGTAGAGCATAAATAAATACTGAAGGCTTTAAAACTAGACTTCATTTGAAAGACTTAAAGACAGAATCCAAGCACAAAACAATACATCATGGTCTCATAACACATGTACAAACCACTGTAATGACAAATGAACAGGTGCAAACAAACGCTGCTTTCAACAAGTTCACACTGAATGAATGCTTATAGAACAATGGCAGTACAGCAGAGGAGACTCGCGAGCGCATCTGCTGGTGTTACCCTAGTTGTCCTGCCCCAGATTAAACATTTCGGCTTCCAGTAGTGGTATTTAAAGTTACTTCAGTCCATCATGTTGGCACGGGCAACCAGGAGAGGGAGGCAGGCAGAGTTCTGTGAGATGGGGGCCAGCCTGCTCTCCATAGAGAGCTCCAGGCCAGCTGGGGCTACAAGGAGACCCTGTCTCAAAAACAACAAGAAAGTAAGTTATTTTCTACAATGCAAAACAACACTGTCAGAGTTGTTAGAAAATTATGACTCCAGTTTTCAACAGAACCAAGAGGGCAGATCCTGAGCACCAGCGTGCAGCTGCCCTGTGCCGGTTGCTAGGCCTGACGGACTATGACAGGCCTTTCTGGCTCAATGAAAAGTGTGGAAAAATCACGATTCATCTACGAAGAAACATTTTACGACAACAGAAATAAGAACCTGCGGACTTCCGTGTTTAGTTCTTTGACCTCACGAAGTCATTTCTTCCCCTCTGTGGCTGTGCGAACCCTCCTTTTCAGCTGAAGGGGTGAAGGACAATAGCCACGACTTTGTTACAGACTAAAATCCAACAGGTAATTCCAACACCGCCTACAAAGAAAGACAGCACCGTGAGAGAGCTCAGCGACAAGGGCCCAGCTTCCTACTGCCGCCATCACTATAGGAAATCAGATTTCAGTCCTTCTGAGCAAAGCAGGGCTAGGAGCTCAGACTAGAGATCCACAGGCCGCACTAGTACTGAACAGGATGACCATGGGCATGGGATTACCATGGGCAAGGTCTGAATGTGCCTCTCCTTACTATGTGTGACGTTAATGGACTGTAAGGACACCCTGGACCACTGTTTCTTTCTCAGAAAGATATTATAAACAAAGTGATGCTCACCCAAGCCTAAATGGAAGATACCTGCACCCTTCCTCACCCAGGCTGCAGGGCCAACAGCTCAGCAGGGGGCAGTGGGGGCATGGGGAGGAAAAAGAGAAGGGTACAGACAGACAGCTCTGCTACATTAGGAGTCCTTGGAATTATCCTTCCTATTAACATGGTAGTTCACCTCCAGTATAACCAAAAATCAGAACCCGTGACTGACAAGAATATCTGCTATCTTTGTTCCGTAGGTACAGTCTTACACTGTAGCCCAGGCTGGCCTTGAACCTGTAGCAATCCACCTACCTCCACCTTCCAAATGCTGGGATTACAGTTATGAGCCACCACACCCAGCAACATTATCGTTAATGGCAAAAATCAGGACCTAAGGACTTATCCTTAACAGGAAAATTAGCAAATTATGACATCCTAATGATGAACAACTGAAAATTCCTTAGTAAAGAAATTTATGGACAGAATGCCGTGATGTGCACACTGTGTCCCCCTAACCCATACACTGAAACCCTACCCTGTGGACTGTATGCATGGGCCTTTGGGAGATACTCAGGTCATGAGGAAGCGGTAGGAAGGAGCCCTGCGGGCATAACTTCTCACCTTCATCCCTCCGCCAGGAACAGAGAGAAGGTGTCATATGCGGACTACCAATTGGTCCTCATCAGACACCCAAGGAACTGGCACCTTCACCTTGGATTTCCAGCCACTGAAAAGTAGATTTTATGTTCTTTCTAAGCCACCCAGTTTATGGTGTTTTGTTATAGTCTCCTGGACACAGGAATGTCTCACAGGATCAAGTGAAAGGATACGAAATGACATATTTCAAAACAGGAAAAGACTGGAAATATCTTATTAAGAGGGGTCCTCTGTAACTGATGGGATTCTCTTTAAGGATTTTTTAAAATATTTTATTATTTTTATTTTATGTGTATGCGTGTATTCCCTACATGTATGGAAATGTACATGTGTTGTGCAGTGCCCACAGAGGTCAGAAAAGGGTGTCAGGTTCCCCTGGAACTGGAGTTACAGCCAGTTGTTAGCCACCATGTGGGTGCTGGGAACTGAACCCAGGCCCTTACCATCCAAAAGAGGGCACCTTCCAAAACACAAAGGGCGACAGCAGCAAGTAGCGCAGATGGCGAAAGCGAACTCAAAGGGCGGGGTCTGGGCTCCAGGTGATGATCAGAGGCTAGGGAACCCGACCCGAGCCCTAGGCTTGCAGCTCTGCTTGTGGGCATTCTAGTGATGTGGGACAGCAAGCAGCTTCCCCAGACCCTGAGTGCAGTGAGACACAAAGGGTGGCTCACTGAGAGGCTGGAGAGGACGAATAGGCTATTTCCTCTTCACCACACACCTCTACATAAGCCCTCCACAGTCTCTCATACCTGCTACCCTAGTAGGAAAGGCCACCAGGCGGTCCAGCGGGGTGATCCATTTGCTTGGTACAACAGCCACAGGGACAGAATAATACTTCCAAATGAGCGAGATCATCAGTGCTGCCTGGAAAGATACTTGTGGTGAGTGGAGGCCACTGTCAGTCACATACCACAAAGACAACCTCCAGACTCACACCTCAATCTCATACTCCCCACCACAGACAACACACACAGAACCACTGCCTTCCAGGACCAAAGCCTGAAAAATGTACGGCCAGAGACGGGTTCATCAAAGAAGCTGCTTTCTGCAGCACAGAGAAGCACCTACAGAGATCCCCAACTGGTCAAGTGCGAGAACAGGTGGCCACGGAAGGCTGGCCCCAAGTGTACATCTACAACACAACCCCCGCACCTAAGGCTCAGGGAACATCTCAGAAGAGAGGACAGGAAGATTGTAAGAGCCAGAGGACCAGGATGCCTGCTGAGGGAAGTGTGTTCCAGATACCACAGGGCAGCTGCACCCAACAAATCTCAACATGGTTGCCTGAACAGGATCTGCACAATGCCAACAGCAGCTGGCACGGCAATGTGGACAGGGGATTTCACAAGGCCCCATCCCAGATGAAGAGCTGCAGGCATCGATGACCACTGAGAGAGGGGAACCCGTTTTCTCCAGGGACGAGCCCCAGGTCGGTTATCCAATCCCAAGTGCTCAGCCCTAAGCACACATAAACACAAGCACCACGAAGTGGACTGAGTAGGTTATATGTATGTGTGTACACATACGTGTGTGTATAGATGCATTTATATGTACACAATGATTACAGAAGATCATACACTTGGGAGGGACATGGGAGGAGGGCGGAGAGGGGCGGAAACATGTAAATATAGTACTCACGTATGAAAACCCCAAAACACAAAAATTTAAGAAAGAAAAAGATGGGCTCATGAGGATGTCCACACACTGACAGGTGGGAGAGTCTTCTTGTGGGAACTGGCATTTTACCATTTTAAGATGGATACACTGTGTATTTACTATTTAAAACAGCAAATCCTCCATGCTGTGTCTCCTCTGAAGCTGAACAATGTATGCTAAAGAGTGGCCTCGAGATCCCCATCAGACAGTCCTCCACGCTCGCTCAGATGGCAGGGCAGCTGGAGCTCTGCCTCCCATCCTTTCCTACTCTCCCAGCAGCAATCACAGGAAAGGACCACACACAGCCCTAAAACCCCAGGTTCCTCAAGGCAGCTGCTGGCTCAGCCACTTGTCAGCCGGGCGCACACTCAGCCTCCAGGGAGCAGCAACGCCATGGGCCCAGGAGACATGAGCCAGCACAAATCATCCAGCTAAGAAAACTGGAGGCCGACTAATGAGGAAAACTGGCTGGTGTCCTACCTGGAGGGTGGAAAGCACGGCTCACACACACACACCAGGGGACAGTGTCCATCAGAGCTTCTCAAGGCATCCCTGCCCATTAAAAGGCTCCAGGACAAAGGCAAGGTGACAGGGCTCGGAGAAGTTAGCTCTCGGACCAAGCAGAGGCGTCCTTTTAGTCTAATTAGAAATCCATGGCTGGCAGCTGGGTAAATGCTCAGCAGGCAGAGCACCTGCCATGAAGCGTAGATCCCCAGCACCCACATAAGTGCCAGGTGGCCACCACAGCCCACCTGGTGTCTCAGGACTCAGGAGGGAGAGACAGGAGCCTGAGAACAAGCTGGGGGCTCTGGGTTCAGGTGGAGTGAGACCGAGGAAGACACCCAACACTGACCTCTGGCCTCCACAAAGGAACACAGAAGCACGAGCACACATGCAAACACACCCACACAGGCATACCACAAACACACACGCATGCAAAAATAAAGTAAAATAACGGGAAGAGATTCCCAGCTGTTGTGTGACAGCGGCAGGATGACGCAGCGGATGTACTAGAAAAGCTATGAACCCTGCGGCCTGCGGACAAGGCGCCCAGGGAGGCCAAGCCATCACCGCTAACGGCCCAGCGGACACCACAACTTACTTGCAGTACGTAGAAAGCAACACTTATGACCCATTTTATCTTGGCTAGCTGAGCTGTCCGAGCTCTCACTGAAAGGAAGAACAAGAAAATCACCATGTCAGGACTGAAAAATTGAGAAAACACCTAAATACACAGAAATGTTATTTTTCCTTATAAAGCACTTTGTGGTTATAAATGGAACAATCACTCAATACATTAAAAAATAAGAATACAGTGTGACACATATGACAATGCCATGACGAAACTCATTACATAATACAAAAAAATTAATTTAAAAAACGTAGTCACCTGTCTTATTGGTACACCGCTATTTAAAGTGGAAACCTACTCAGACTGGACTTGAAATCCCCTCAAGTTACTCACCCAGAGAGATTCTTTTCTAGCGCATTTAACACTGACCAACAATGCTCAAACTTCATCCCTGTTTTCCAGCCTACACTGTCCCTGAACCCCAGGAGGCATCCAGCTTGTCCCGAGCCTGGACACGCTGTCTGTGTGCTCTCCGCAAGTGAAGCCTATTCCAACCCAGGACCACCCAGCAGGGCCTCTCAGCAGACGCTGCCCTCGGATGCCATCCTCACCACAGGCCCTGACACTGCTGTCTACACTCACCTAAGGTCCGTGGGCATGCTCCTGAAAGTGGGCCAAGTGCCCCGAGGACCCACTGTTGTGATCCTTATCCGAGCTTCCCTCAACAAAATGCCAAACCTGAAAATAACCTACCAACAAGCTGGCTTTAAGGAAAATCTAAGAGGATGCCCGAGTCTGAAAAGCAAAGTTTTAGCAGCAGGAAGAATGCAAGAATGATTGCTGGGCTTCCTCTAGACAAGCCAGAGTCCTATCAACATAGACCATAGAGCAGAGCACACACACAAATCCCCACAGCCAGATCCTTGGCTGGTCAGCCCTTATGACACTAGCCAGGCTATGGGACTGTAGTACCATGAGTTTTGAGCCTGTCCGTCATCTTGTTGATCTTCCTTTCCAGCCTGGCATATCTGGCAAACTCGTCCATCATGTTGACGGTGGACAGCTCCTGCTTCATGTCCTGGATCTCGGCTCTCATCTGTGACTCCTGCTCTGCATCCTTCTGCAGCACTCTGGAAACCTGGAGGGGAGGTGGCTGGCATCAGTGTCCATTCACATGGGTTCCCTAGTTCCTCCTGCACAGAAGACCTGCGTGTCCTCACTGAGAAGACAGTATGCCTTGACCAGCCCGCTACATGGCAGGCTACACCCCAAGTCAGCACTATGAACACACCCGGGTGTTCATATAAAGTATAGGTGCTTCAGGGAAACACTGAGCGGTCATATTACTGAGCGCAGAAACCAGCCCCGGCAGCCAAACTGGAATTCTGGGGATACAACAGTGGCCACCACGTGGCACCCAGCAACGACCAGAGCTGGGCCAGGGTCCCAGGACTATGAGGTCATGGAAAGAGGGTTACAAAGGGAAAGAACCAGGCTGGGCCAGCGGCAGTGACCTCTAGGGACTTGCCTCACAATCAAAAGGAACTGCTACTGCAGTGCATGAGGTAATAACAAGTATCACCTCCAAGACACCGCCAGACACTGAAGCTCTGAAGAGGCTCTGTCCTGCTCTGGCCATCAAAAACCCCTGCAGACCCCACAGCACGGCAATGCAGGGCAATGGCCAGGGCCACTGCTGTACAGGACGCTCATTCAAGCAGGCACCAGAACAGGTCTTCAGGATCGGACAGTGTTAGTAATGTGCTCGACGCCCGCACTGCCGAAGACCACTGCTCACACTTGCACTGAAGTGTGAGCAATGAGGGGCTAGGCTGACAGCATGCCTTCAGATGTTTCAGGAAACAGAACTGCTTTTCATACTGTATGAACGTTTCTGCACATATTTGTGTGTCAAACTTTTTAAAAAATATTTTATTATTTTTATGTGTATGAGTGTACTGCCTGCATGTATATGAGTGCACCCATGTCATGCAATGCCGGGGAGGTCAGAAGAGGGCTTTGGATTCCGCTGGAACTGGAGTTGAGTTAAGGACAGTTTGTAGCCGCCACGTGGGTGTTGGAAGTCAAACCTGGGTCCTCTGCAAGAGCAGTCAGTACTCTCAACCACTAAGCCATCTTTCCAGCCCCATGTGTTTCCAAACTTTTTAAAGTAGGTTTGTCAGTTAAAAATGAAAGTGTAAAGAGTGTCTAAGTGCACCTGGCCTACAGCAAGTGCCACCCCTGGCTCACAGGGTCCCCCTGATTGCCACAGTGGGGCAACTGCAGCTAGAGTCCAACCTAACCCCAGGGGTGCTGGTGCACACAGAGGGCTAAGATACAAGCTGAGACCCTATCAAGTGCCTGCACAATGAAGCTGTAAGTTAGGACCCCCAGCAAGGTGCGTGGCCACAGTAGCTGCACAGTGTGCTCACTATTGTGAAGCTTTTGTGGGTCTGGTGCAAGGAGGGGTCTGCAAACCAAGCCTCCCTTTACCAGCCCACTACCCACCACTCTAAGGAAGATTTACTTCAGTCTGGTCTGCCCTGGAGAGGAAAACAGGAATGAGCCAAACGATCTAAAGTCACAGAGCTATGGTTTGAAAGCAGCTGCATACACAAGCTGCTTAAAACTCAACAGAAAACAAAAGCCATCTGGCCCAATGGTGTACCCTGTAATCCTAGCACTCGGGACGCTGAGGCAGGAGAATGAGTTCAAAGCCAGCCAGGGGTCCATAGCCACCACCAGACCAACATAAAATATAGAGACCCTGTTTCAAAAGGAAAAGTTTCAGCTCTGCTTCCTGTGCCTGCTTGAAGAAGTGAGCACTTAGCTTCTGCTCCTCCTCCAGCCACCTCTGCTGCCATGCCTCCCTGCCAGGATGGATTCTTGCCCCTTTGGAGCAACCGTAAACTAAAAACTCTTCCTTTTATTTAAAAAAAAAAAAGTTCAGGTGTGGTGGTGTACTTTTTATCTTAGCACTCCAGAGGCAGAAACAGGTGGATCTCAGATCTCTGTGAGTCTAAGGCTGTACTACCTAAAACAAAAATAAAAAAACATGGGGCTAGAAAGATGGCTCAGTGGTTAAGAGCGCTAGCTGCTCTTGTAGAGAACCTGGGTTTGGTTCCCAGCACCCAGATGGTGGTGAACAACCATTCCCAACTCCAGTTCCAAGGACTCTGACACCCTCTTCTGGCCTCTGCAGGCATTGCACACACGTGGTGCACATGCAGGGAAAACATGCACATAAAATGAAAGTAAGTCAAAGATAAAATTGGGACTGGAAAGATGGCTCAATGGTTAAGAGCACTGGCTGCTCTTGCACAGGACCCAGGTTCGATTCCCAGCACCCACATGGCGGCTAACAACTGTCCTACCTATAGTTCCAGGGGAATTTGACACCCTCTTCTGACCTCTTCAGGCATTGTACAACACAGATGCACTTACATACATGTAGGCAAAACACTCACACACATAAAAGAAAAATAATAAAAGTATTAAAACCATCGTCCAGAACCACAGTTCCAGGGACTCTGACACCCCTCTTCTGACCTCCAAGAGCACTGCAGGTACATATGCACTTACATACATGCAGGCAAAACACTCATACACATAAAGTAAAAATAAATAAAAAGATAAAAGTTAAAAAAAAAAAAAAAAAAAAAAAAAAAAAAAAAAAAAAAAAAAAAAAAAAAAAAAATAAAAAAAAAAAAAAAAAAAACACAAGACCACAGGAACCAAAAGAAAAAAAGCTACCCTCTAGGTGATGCAAGCACAATTGCAGGGTACAAGACTTCTAAGTCCTAGAGACAGATTCATCAAGAATCTGAAGCACAAAGTGTGTAAAATTCGAATCAAGATGACATATCAGTGGTGACATCCAAGGAGGGAAACATCTGCTTCTTTGCGGCCAGTGAGCAGAGGCTGCACAGTGCGTGTGCGGTCACCCTAGGGTCCCGTTCAGCAGGGACACCCTTTCTGCAAGAGGTTCAGGAGTGACCTGGAATCCCTCGGGGAAGGTCAAACTCCATCACAACAACTCAAGGGCTGGGAAGTCTGAAAACCGGCGGCATAACAGTTAAGTTCAGCCAGGCTCCTCCCTTCTGAATTCCAAGGGCACCAGCACAGCCAGTCACCAGTCTGGGTGTGTCCCTAAACACCAGACACAGACTTCATCTCATCTCAGGAAGGGCAAGCACCTGCCACTCTAGCCAGTGCCAGGGCCAGCCAGTCAGGTCCAAGCAGAGCAACTTGCTGGGATAGGGCCACACTCCTGGGATGCTGAATATCCCCACCTGTGTACCTCAGAAGGGGACCCTGCCAGGCAGGCGCCCCACCCTGGAACACATCTTCCAGTCAAGGCTCCAAGCAGATCATGTGAGGTAGCGTGCCGCCCTAATGCTTGGAGGTCACCATAGACTGTCCCAAAGGGCCTTGCTGAGCTCTGTGGAGAGGAGTGCTCAAGGAAACCCCAGCGGGGCCTGTGGCCTCCCACTTTGTTCCTTTTTGGAACAAAAATGAAGAAAAACTTAGAAATCGCTGAACCCAGGAAAGGCCACACCAGCCAGAGCCCCAGGAGCGTCTGCACTGTGCAGGACTGCGGCAAAGCGGGGTCTATGGGGACTTCATGCAGGCATCTGCACACCTGCTCCCAGGCCCTCAGCTCACCTCTGCCAGACCAGCTCCTCAGGCACCCACATCACATCTTCACCCCACCTTCTGCACATGCCAGTCCTAGGAGTACACACAGTGCATCACATCAGACCTTCACCCCACCTGTCATGCCAGGCCTAGGGAGCACATACCCTTTTCCATCTCCTAAGAGCCTCCCCACATCTGTGCATGCTCAGTCAGGGTCACCTGAGCAGTGCGCCTCCCCTGCACCTGCACTATGGCCCCTTCTCCAACACCTTAAGATATAGTGCTGGATCCCTACTTAATGAACTAGACACTCTCATCTATGCATGCTGTGACCACCTTGAAGGAAAGGATCCTCAGGAACCCTCAAGCAGGCCAACCGCAGATACCACAGCAATGGGCTGAGATGGCCTCCTGGCACCTCACCCTCTTGCTGTACTAAGGGCTTCTGACAGACTTATGCAAGGGAATCATGCCAGGGGATCCACGGTGTCCTGGACGACTAATGGGATGGATGTACTCTAGCTTCCAGCTGGACTGACGTTCAAAAACACTGTGAGGAGGGCTACACTCTGAAGTCCCTGGGCATGGTCCATCCCAGGGGACACTGCTTCCCAGCCCAACTTCCCTGTCATGAATCTGTCCCACTTGGTCCCTCAAATCAGAGGCTGTGTTGGGGGAGCCTCTAACCACTTTGGCCTCCTCATCCCAGAGTGCTCCTAAGAGCGCCTATATACCCTCAGTAAGAACCCAGCCACCTGGCAAACTGGATCTCTTTACTCCTGTTCTCAACACCAGTTATGGGCTGTGCTCTGCTAAGGTGACCCTATACTAGCTTTCTGAACCTGGCTAACAACTGAGTGTCACCCAAGGGTTTAAGCTATGTGGCTGTAATAGAGGCTACAGTCTGCAGGAGAAGCACAGGATGTGGGTCCAGGTCCCCTTCAGACTCTTCCCACACTGGGAAAAACCTCACACATGGGCAACTGCCGAGCATGGTGAAGGCAAGGTGTCGGGCCTGGATGAAGACAGGATGCACACAGCTCTCTCCCAGCCAGCTACTGAAAAGTCATGGACAATTTGGGGAGGAAGCCAACCCCAACACGGCCTCCTTGGACAACTGACATTCCTTTCCTTAGCACCTGTGAGATGAAGTGCAAAGGGTGTGCATAGGAAGGAGAGGGGATGATGCAAGAAAGTGACACCAGGGCTGCAGAGAGGCCCCAGCACTTAAGGCACTCGTCACAGGAGCACAAGGACAGGCGATCCAATCTCCATTGTGCCCAAAGAAGATGGTGGGTATGCTGGTGATCTGATGTTAATTCTCAAGCACACCCACGTACATTCATCATCTTTTTGGGTGGAGTGCCAAACTGAGGATGCCAGAGAGACATCCTGGTCTTCAAACTCAAGAGCACATGGTTTTGCTGTGTTAATTAAAAGTCATCAGTCAGATTATGTTCATTAATAAAAGTCATTCCTACAAACAAAAGTCTGTAACTCTAGTTCCAGACGCCCTCTTCTGGCCTCTGAATGCTGCACTTAAATGCACACAAAACACATATTCTCTCTCTCTCTCTCTCTCTCTCTCTCTCTCTCTCTCTCTCTCTCTCTCTGTCAGACACACAGACACAGACACGCACATACACACACACACACACACACACACACACACACAGTCAAAAAAATTTAAAGAAAAAAAAAAGAAAATCAGAAACAGTCATTGATAAAACCAAAACTCAGAAACCATCACAGGGAATGTAAAAATGAGATGACAGTTTCTCAAAAACCTTAAATAGAAAATTACTACATGATTCAGCAACTTTCACTTCTGGGTTTATTTCCAAAACAAATGAAAAGGAGAACTCAGATTTCAGGGCCTGGACAGATGGCTCAGCATTAAAGGGTACACACTGCTCTCACAGAGGACCTGAGTTCAGTTCCCAGCACCCTTATTAAGAGGCTCACAAATGCCTGTAACTTCAGCTCCAGGAGATCTGACGCCCTTTTCTGGCCTCTGCACCTGCATTCATGTGCACGTACACACACACAGACACAATTAGACACACACACACAATTAAAAACAAAATCTTTGATTAAAAAAAAAAAGTCAGCAGGGAGTGGTGGCACACGCCTTTAATCCCAGCACTTGGGAGGCAGAGGCAGGAGGATCTCTGTGAGTTCAAGGCCAGCCTGGTCTACATAATGAGTTGCGTCCTCTTTTTTTTTTTTTTTTTTTTTTTTTTTTTAAAAAAAAAAAAAAAAAAAAAAAAAAAAAAAAAAAAAAAGTCAGACATTTGTACACTGATTTCTGGCAGCTTTGCTTATAATGGTTAAAAGGTAGAAATGACCCAAGTGTTCATCAACTAATGACTGGACTTTTAAATTGTTGGGACTGGAGAGATGGCTCAACTTCCTGCTTCCAGGGGATCTGAGTTTGAGTCCCAGTACTCATATTGGGTGGCCCACAACCACCTGTAATTCCAGCTCCAGGGGCTCCAACGCCCTCTTCTGGCCTCTCTGGCACCTGAACACACATGACATACACATACACATAAATAAAAGAGGGAAAATATACTTTAGGATAAAGGCTATAAACCAGAGTTTTGTACAAAACCGAATCCCATCCCAGAAGGGGGCTCCCTGCAGTCTGGGACCTGCAGCTCTGGTACCAGGCACCTGTAAGGACACACACAAGGCCGGCCCTCAGTGAATGCTGGCACAGAAAAGCATAATGAAATCTTAATGGACCACCCTCCCTCATTCATATCAGAGGACAATAGAACAGTTTCCAATCTGAAATGTCAGTGTAAAGCAGACAGCCCCTCGCTCCACTATGGACAGATGGAAGATGCTGAGCCTTCTGGTAGGTTCCTGAGGTCCTCTCCTCCCATCCCACCACCTCCAAGGCCCACCCAGGAGTGGCTGAGTAACTTAGCGCAACTAAGTTCTGGGCCAGACCCATCCTCTGGGAGGGAAAGGGAAAGTCAGAGGATGTCTTTGCCACCCAGAGTAGCCATGACACCTGGACACAGGTAAGGTGTTCACTGCCAGGGCAGAATACAGGCAGAGGGAGCGCTCTCCAGGGCTTGTGGCTCGCTTGCACAGACAGCATCCCAGCAGCTCATGCCAGAAAGGATGGCCCCCTGCAGTCTGGGATCTGCAACTCGGGTACCAGGCACCTGGGGTACCAAGCACCTGGGGGAGCAAACACCTGGGGAGCAGGCACCTGGGGTACCAGGCACCTCGAGGAGTAGGCACCAGTGAGGATGCACACGAGACCCCCGGAAGCCAGAGCTGCTCCAGGGCCCCAGGGAGCAGGGCTAACGGAAGAGAGGAGCAGGTGGCGGGACCCGAGAACGCCCAGTGTGCGGCCACACACCCCGAGGACTCCTGCCACGGGCGAACAGGAGTCTCCCGTGCGGTGCGTCGGATTCCGGACGTAAAGCCTCGCAACCTTTTACAAGCTAGGAGCTACTGAAAAACAAGCAGCTCTGCAACCCGGGCACGCGGCCTCGGCAGCCCCGCGGAACCCCAGCGTAGCCGGCCACTTACGAAGGAGGAGAGCGACGGCAGCAGGATCCGGAGCACGTTGCACCCGAACACGAAGCAGAGCACCAACAGCCACGCCCAGCGGTCGGCCTCGGCCGCGCTCATCCCGGACTGCGCGGCGCCTGCACCGCTGCTACAGCGCCCAGGTAACCCCGCCGCCAGCACCTCCTGCGCATGCGCACGGCGGCCTGCACCGCTACGGCAGCGCCATGGCGACCACGCAGCCAAAAGCTCTTGCGCCTGCGCACTGCAGCCGGCACGCTACGGCAGCGCCATGGCGACCACGCGGGCAACAGCTCCTGCACCTGCGCACTGCAGCCCGCACGACTACACCCCGCGGTGACTACGCCTACAACAGCTCGTGCGCCTGCGCACTGCGGCCTGCACGGCTACGGCGGCGCCAGGGCGACCACGAGGCCAACAGGTCCTGCGCCTGCGCACTGCAGCCCCGCCCCACCCTGCTGCAGAAGGGCCTTGGAGGCGGTGGGGGCGCGCCTGCGCACTCCGTGGGACCAATCTCTCGCGTGGGGACCCGAGCGGGGCTTGATGCCCAGCAGGATGCCCAGCAGCTTCGCCGTTCCACAGTGGTGTGGTAGCCATCCCGCTATGCTGTGGACAGGTTTCAACAGACCGATTGGCCTGCCGCCTGCACGCTGCCTTTGTAGTATCTGGAAATTATTTGTCGTTGACTCAAGTGTATTCCTTAATAAGTTTACTTTAGAAGAAGCCTTTGCATAAATGGAAAGTTACCTTACAGTCGCAGGTAACTAAAAAATGTTTTCTGAGTAGTTGTTGCATGTAAAATGGCTTGTTTGCATTTAAAGCTAAATATAGGGGGCTCCGAGTTTAAGAGCACTGCCCGCTCTTGCAGAGGACCAGGGTTTGATTCCTAGCACCCACATGGTGGCTAACAACAATCCGTAACAGCTGTTTTGGGGAATCCAGTGCCCTCTTCTGACCTCCTTGGGTATTGCAGGACTTGGGTGTACTTACATACATCCAGGCAATACATTCATACTCATAGAATAAAAATAATAAAAAAAATTTTGGTCATTTTGAGACAGGGTCTATGAGACAGGGTCTCCTGGTAGCCCCAGCTGACCTGGAACTCACTATGCCCTGTCTAAAAACAAAGTAAATAAACTTTCTAGTGTCCCTTTTGAGGTGAAGCTTGTATTTTTGTCTTGACACTGTCCTCTGTCCTGGTTAGATGCTGAGAACACGTTCCTAATCATAATACAAGAGGCTGTGCTTCTACTAAATTCAGTTTGAAGAAAACCGTAGGGCTGGAGAGATGGCTCACCAGTTAAGAGCACTGGCTGCTCTTGCAAAGGACCCAGGTTCAGTTCCCAGCACCCACATGGAGGCTAACAACTGTTCATAATTGTAGTTTCAGGGGCTCCAATGCCCTCTTCTGAACTCTCTAGGCATTGCACACATGTGGTGCACTTATATACATGCAGGCAAAACACATACACATAAAAATAAATTTTAAAAAATATGGGCTGGAGAGATTGCTCAGTGGTTAAGAGGACTGGCTGCCCTTGCAAAGGACCGAGGTTCCGTTCCCAGTACCCACGTGATGGCTAACAACTGTCTGTAACTCCAGTTCTAGGGGTATGTGACCCCATCTTCTGACCTCCTTGGGCTTTGCACATCACAGATGCACTTGCATGCAGGCAAAACAAGTAAAAAATTTTAAGTTAAAAAAAAAGTGATGATTCACAGCTACCCAACAACTGTAGAATGAATTATTTCCATGAAAGGACATGATGACTGGAAGGCTGGAGACTGCCTCTCTATAACCTTCCCCTCCCCCTGAAATGCTCAAAGCTCCAGGTTCTGAGTCCTGCCTGCACTGGAGCTTTAGACCAATTGAGGAGGAATGACCTCATGAGGTGATGGCAGCCCCTTGCTCTTTCCCCAGCCAGTGTCTCTCAAGGAAAGTGGCCGTCAGCTCCCACTCCTGGTCCCATTCCATCTCGCTAGGAGGACCACTGCATTCCCAGTGAGGCAAGACGCTAACAAAATTACTGAGGACTATCCTGAGCTGGATTGGTGCAACTGAGCAGGGAGGACTATTCCTGATCTTCTTGAGCACTGTTTGTGTAATTCAGCTCTGCTGTCCTTCACATGGGCAGCTCTCAAAACATGACCTCTTACTTGTGGAAAGAAAGCATGAAAGCCAGGTTCCTCCTTATGAATCAGTCCAGACCTGCAGGGTTTTCAATGAACAAAACTTGTTAGATTTTTGGAGACTAGAAGGAAAGATAGAGGAGTAGGAGACAAGAAACCAGAACCAGACCTGCAACAGGCAAGGAATAGATCTTCCTTTATTCAAAGAAGATACAGCGAGAGGTAGAGGCTGTCCTCGGGAACCAAGCTTCTACAACTAGACAAAGAAAATGGGGAAGGGGTTATACCAGGGTTGTGGGACACAGCTGCACTTAGTGGGGAGTTGAGTTAGTGCCCGGGCTTGGTGTCCTTGGAGTGATTGAGGGTCTCCTCAAGATTATTTCCCCAGAAACTGGCAGGAGTGTTATCTATGGCCATAGAGGAGACAGGTGGGCACCACAAACTCTTTCTCTTAGGCTTGGAAGTGACCAACTGATAAGGGGTGAGCAGAGCCAGGCATGAGCAAGGCCAGCCTACCAATTAAGGACCAGCCAATTAGACACTTTAAGGGATTTATGGCTTTCCCTAATGAGGCTTGTGACTCTTCTGCAATTCACACAGTCTATCAAAGTACATAACAAAAGATTGTTTCTTAATTCTGCCATAATAAATTACCACAAATTTAGTGGCTTTAGGTTATATAAATTAGTTTATCTGACAGTCCAGGAGCTCAGAAATCTGAAGTGTATTTCACTTAGCTAAAAATAGCTGTTGGCAAAACTGTCCTCTCGAATCCCTAAGGCAGAGTCAATTTTCTAGACTTTTCCAGCACTGAAAGGCCACACTCCTGGTCTTGTGGCCTTCTTCCATCTTCAAAGCTGGCAGTCACTGACTCCCCTGTCTCCCTCTTGTGCCACCAGAACCCTCAGGATTGCATTGGATCCCTGTGGATACACTAAGATAATCGCTGCAGTTAAAAACCTTCCACCAGCCAAGCATGGAGACCCAGGCCTGGACTCCCAGCACTCAAGCAGTAGGTAGAGTGGTATAAGTGTTATGGAAAAATCAGAGACCAACAGCCGGAGTCAGGTTAGGAGAGGAAGTTTAATTTGACGCTAGTGGGACTGACACCATGAATAAAGGAGTCGAACCCTTGTTTAAGCTTTGGAGGGCTTTTATACTCCTGTGGGGAAATGTAAACAAAGGCAAAACAGCACAGAGGTGACAATTTAGTAAAAGGTGCATGTGATAATTAAGCAAGGTAACATATAGCCACAAAGGCTACAGGAATGTGACAACTTTGGAAAGCGGACTTCCATCATGGGCAACCACAGGGCAAGATGGGAGACTCCTCACCTCCCCCAAACCTATCTCTTAAGAGTTTTCCATGTTGTGAAGTTCTTAATTACTATCACATTGCAAAAGCTTTCCACATCCACAATAGAAGCACGATGATCAGAAGATCACTGTTGACTTTGGGCCATACAGAGAGCTCTTGGCCAGCCTGTGGTGCATGAGATCCTATCTCAAAAAAAAAGTTATGCCTGGCATGGTAGCACATGCCTTTAATCCCAGTACTTGGGAGGCAGAGACAGGTGGATCTCTGTGAATTCGAGGCCAGCCTGGTCTACATAGTGAGTTCCAGGACAGCTGGGGCTACAGGGAAACCCTGTCTCAAAAAGACAAAAAAAAAAGTTACTAAATCTCAGAGCTCAAAGTCCCCAGTCCTTTCCTTCTGAGGCCTCACTAAACAAATAACTGTGAGTACTGCAAATAATCTTCACCACACTAAGGACCATGAAGGGACACAAGGTCTAGACAGCTGTCCATGTTGATAGGATGTATGACTTACAGGAGAGTCATAAGCTTCTTTATATAAATTCTTCAAGGTGGCCAAATGGCCCAAATTGGAGGCTTGGCCTTTGATCAGGCATTATCAACTGGTCACTTCCCTGACTGCCAGAGATTTGTTAACTCCTGCTGTGCCATAGCCTGGTCTGGGGGCCTAGCCTTATCAACTATCACTACAGAGACTGCAGAATCAACCTAACTCCTGCTCACCTGAGAAAATAACCCCAGGAAGGAGACCCTCAAGTACCCCAAGGACACTGACCCCTGACACCTGACACCGAGCAGATTCCTACAGCTGTGGTGAGCAGAATCTGTACATAAAACCCAGATTGCTCTGCCCTGACCCGCGGAGCAACAGCGTAGGGCACCGAGACTGAACCTGGAGGAATGAATAGACAGGGGGCACGAAGAAATGGAGACAAGACAGTATTCTGATCAAGTCTCATTTACTGAGCAATCACAGTGTTAATATAGTAAAGCGGAGGGTGGGGGAAGGTAAAGGGTGGAGAGAAGGCAGGGGGAGTGGAAGGC